AAATTTTTTGCCTAATTTAAAATTTTCATCCTAAATTTATTAATAATGCAAACTCGACGAAACTTTAAGTTTATATTTAAATTGACTTTAAAAACATGTTTACTTAATGCACCAGTCCCGATTTGATTAATAAAATTTTGAACTGTGTGAGGTATAAGTTTCCCAATTATTAAAATGATCATCAGGTGGTTGGATATTTATGGTAGGTGAGTGTATATGATATAATAAATTCAATGCTTCAATATGCAGTAAATCAATTTAATTGCATATACTCTCTATTCACTTGCATTTACTCCATAATGTGAATGCGGCTTTATTTTTCACCTGCTGAAACAAGATTTACAATTATACATGCACCTATTGCTTGAAGATGTAGTTTCCAACATATCTTCTTACATAAATAAAGGAAAATTTGACTGATCCCTTGAATTAAGTAGAAGAATCCACATAACAGGAGATGAAAAGGTGGAGAAAGATATAAGTGAAGAACAAATAATAGCTTTAGACTTTGAAAAAATGCTTTTGATTTAATTAAAGATTGGTAAATTTCGAAAATAAATTGTGTGCATATGTCTAGACTTTACTCCAAACTCCAGTTCATATCTAACTTCTGATCTAGCAATGATCTGAATGATGTTAGTTAACCAAACAGTAAAGACAAAAATAACAAATATTTCCATTCAAAAAAAAATATATTTGCTATATACACCAGTTTTTTTTTTCACATATACGCCTTTTTTCTATTTTAAAACAATTGAAATTAATTGTTACACTGCATGAATTATGAATGTCACATTCGTCACATTCGATCTGCAACAGTGTCCACTATGCTTGTTTCCAGGTGTAATTGGAAATCATTTTATTAGGGACAGATGGGGTGAAATAGTTACAAAATCAACATCTGATGCATGTAATGAGAATAGTGACCCATTCAAGAAGTCAAGAATTGGATGCAAGGTAAATATGCTTGGAACATTAATCAGAGGTTCAATCAAAGCTGAAATTCTTTTTGGTGAAGGTTTGATTCATCTGGACTGCCAGCTGCATCATGAAAAAAAAAGGTTCCTAGATAAAGTAAAGTTTTCTATTATTATGAGAGATTCATTAAATTCAATGTTGAAGAATAAATGATGATGAATGAAGAAGATTGATTATATATGGCTGGACACAGTATGGTATGTTTATTTTGTTAGCACCTTATATTAATATGCAAATCTATTATCTAATGATAATTTTTCTTTAATATAGGATTTGAAATCAATATTTATGTTATTGTGAGATTGTAAACCGTGGACCAACCAATTGACCATTAATATTGACGAACTTACTACTGAAGTCATGTGATGTGCTAAATATTACATCACGATTAATGATCATCTTTCTATATTTATTGCGACGGTTGCACACCACATTACACATATAGATCATTGCATCATTTCTATTTTATGACATAATTATTTACTTCGAATTATTAATCAAATTATTTGTATTAATGACTCATATTATTAGTAATTATGAGTCAGAGGATTAGTAATTAGCAATTAGTAAGCTAGTAATATAGAAAATAGGATTAATAAGCATATTTTATTGGACAAAATAGAGTAGAAGTCATGTTATTTGTAATACCTCAAGAGGTATAAAAAGGCTTGGTTTTAGACCAAGTGAAAAAAAGTAGATCATGTTAATAACACTAATAATAATCTATAACAATTGAATAAATACCCCCCCTGTTGTTAATAATTAAACAAACACATTTTACCTTATTACGAATTTTTGCATAGTTAATAGGAAAAGCCATTGTGAATTGTTCCATGGTCCTCTCTGATGATTAGTGGCTGGCCACTAATCATTAGTTAGGAACCCCCCCCACCCCGTTTGGTTGTTCTATGCTGCTTGTAGGGACGCCTCAAGTGGTATAGTTGTAAATATTTCTTGTATATATTCTTTTTATTTTATTTTATTTATCATTTTTAGGCCAACAGTACTTCTATTAGTACTGTAGAGAGAATTGCACAATAGAGTTTTGAGTAGGCTCTGAAATGTGTGCGGATACAGAGGCCTGGTATAGAGTATTGAGAACTCTGAGCTGTGTGCGGATACAGGGAGATTTATATATTGGACTTTTATTTATTTTATTTTATTTTATATATTTATTGGACACAACCCGAGCTGTAATTGAATTTACACACTTACATTTTGGCGACGACGACAGGACTATAATTTGCAAACGGATCCTCATATCCTTTGCTGAAGAGATTATAGTCACAAACCTGTATAGACATATATATTATTGGAATTAAGTTTTTTGGCTAAAAAGCTGAAGTTAAGATACATACTATTTTAAAGTGGAAGAAACGGATGGGATACATGGTAAGGAAAACATTACCTGTGAGAACAAGATAAAGACAAAAGGAAGCATTAACACCATAGCCACCCAGATGAAAGGAAGAGTAAATACCATCACCACCAAAGGACACTATATGTTATTATCATATACTATATAATTAATTAATGAAGGAGCCTAGATGTAAAATTTCGGAGATAAAAAGCAAATGAAGTAAAACTGTACCTTGAGAATAGCTAGTGATAGTAGTAGAGGATAAGGGACAAGAGTTTAAAAAAGGCTATGACAAAAAGTGTTGAAGTACGCACACTACCTTGAACACTACAGTCATTCTCACATCTTCCTCATGTACATAAGGCTAATCTGACCAAGTTTCTCTCAATGATACAATGATGCTACTGAATTCCAGGGGAGGGGCCCATGGTCCTGGAGTTTACCAAGACTGTATTGATCATCAATGACACTTTCACTAATCTTCCCAGACCAGAGAAGGCTGCCATGTTAGATGAAAAGTTGCCTGAAACGGTCCTACCTCTAGGGCAAGGATGGCTCTGTGACCAAGTTGCAACTCTGGAGGAATATTAAGAGAATATGCAACTTGTTCCAAGCACAGGAGGTCACAATTCAGAGCAGGGTTGGTGGCCCTGAAATTGCATTTGGGCTCTGATGTTAAGAGGAAAGTCGTAAAATAGTGTTTGTTTTGTATAATCATTTTTCATAAATGCTCTGTTTTTTTGATATTAACCAATTTATGATTTTGGGTAGGGGATACCCTCTAAAACCAAATAAGTTTGTTTGTGTATTTATTATATTTATATTGATTAATATGGTAAAGTTTTGGGTAAAGGTTATTTACCAATCAACCAGTTATTATTAAAACATGTTATGTTTCAGAAGAAAAAAATAAAAAAGCGGCAGCGTAATAACATTTTTATTACTCATACAAAAATATTATGATGATGCCGTTTTTATTCTTATTCGCTTTTTGAATTACTGTTCTATATTTTAATTTCACTACATCCCTCCTATTTGCTGTTGTTTATCGATGTGTTATATAATCTATTTGATATAATTGGTTCATTAATGAACTTTTATGTGGGCCAAGATAATAAAATTTACTTACTCGTTGATCAGAATTGGTAAATGAACATTTTGGGCTCAATCATAACTATAATGAACAGTAGCATCAATACCGCAATA